TGGACCAGTGACACTGCCCTCTACAGCTAAGATGCTGAACAACAGCTCAACCTGGGGCTGAGCTGCCGTGAGTCGCCGGCAACAGTGTAAACTGCAGCCCCTGCTGCAGTGGGTTGCCATGGGCTACCGTGTGTAGCCAGCAGCCAGCGTGAGCGGCCAGCAGCCACTGTGAGCGGCCGTCCAGAAGCCGGTGACTGGTCTGCTTCGCCCGGGAAGAGCGCAATGATGGTGCCAACTTGGGCCAACTTGGGCCAATGATGGTGCCAACTNTGGGCCAATGATGGTGCCAACTAGACTGAAGAACAAAAGGACAGCAACTTGTCTGTTCCCCTTCCCCCGATTCCCCAGCGCTGTTCTCCTCCCCCAATTCCCCAATAAAATCTTTAAAAGAAAAGAATTTCTATTTTTCTAAAACCTTTCCAACAATGAGAAATATTAAGTTTTAAAATCTTAAGTAATCTAACAGACAAAAAATATATGATGTTTTATTAATTCAGATTTCTCTCATTACTAGAAAGGCTGAACAGACTTCTCATACTTGTTGCCCTAATCTAGTTCTTTGGTTTGGTACTGTCTGGTCTTTGCTTGCCTTTCTATTGTACATGTCAGCTTCTTCTGACAACATAGTATGTATTTATGTCTGCGTATGTCTAGAAATGGTCTATTTCTAGACCATTATTTGTATGCAAATACTAAAATGACTTAATTCCTGACTTAATTCCATAATTTTGAACAATGTTTCTAATCAGAAGTGCTACTGATACGCTGGGTAGGATAATTCTTCATTGTATGGGACAATCCCATATAATGCAGTGCCCTAGGCACCCCAATTAATAAATGACAATAGAATTCCCCATCCATTTAGACAGGGAGACACTTGACAATATGTAAAGACATTTTTGGCTTTCACAACTGGGGTGGGAAAGAGTGCTACTGGTATCCAGTGGGTGGAGACCAGGGATGCTATTAAATATCCTACAACACAAAGCATAATCCCCCACAACAAATAATTATCTGGAGAAAATGGTAATAGTGCCAAGGTTTAAAAAAAGCTGATTAAGACAACTAAAACACTCCCACTCATTTCTTATAGCTCCAGATTGAGTCTGAAAGCAGTTTAGAATATATGTAGACACTAGGGGACACTGTCCAAAATTGTCAGGCATTTCATTTCCAAATCATTTTCCAATCAAATTCTCGTATTAAAAAAAAAAAGCCTATATACACTTAGGATTTGGATTCAAATTACCTTAAATTTATACACTAATTTAGAAATAATTAAAATCTATGATATACTTAGAATTCCAATCAAGAGAATAATGTATCTCTATCTCTATTCCCCCCCACCCCAAATCTTTAATAAAGTTCCATAGGTTTCTTTTAAAAATAAAGTATAGGGGTTGTTAACCTGTGGTCCATGAATTCTTTTATTTTTTTATTTTTTAATGAATTCTTAAGTGGGCTTTAGGACTTCCACTAAATAGGGAAAATGATGCCTATTTAAAATGGTGTGTGTGTGTGTGTGTGTGTGTGTGTGTGTGTGTGTGTTCATGCGCGTGCATCTATACTAGATTGTTAAGTAAAATATGTTACTGTGAAACATATGAGGACTATACATGCCAGCTGTTTGCATGTCTGCTTCCTTCTTGTCATTAGGTCTTATCTTGGCCTTTCTTACCCATTCTACTTAAGGTTGCTTCCTCCAAGGCATTTATTCTCATACTATCTTGTCTCATTTTAGTTACTTATACTATTAATCAATATTTAAACTATCTTATTGCTTTTAATCTTTCTCCCTCTCTAGAATCTTGTTCCCTGCTGTGTTTCCAACACCTAGGCCAGTGTCTGCCCACCTATAATATCCATTCAACAAACATTGCTTGGCAGGATTAACTTAATAAATACGTAACTTACCAAAGCTAAACCTAGGTTAGATTTTAACTACATTTCAACATCATGTGTATCTTATGTCTGTAATCTCTCTAATATAATCGTCACTACCTGGGGGCCTAATGCTTAGATTCCAGCCATCCACTTTATAGTCCTAGACCCCAGGAAAGTTATGTAATCATATTTTAACCATTGTAAAAAGAAATCTCAGTGATGGGACAATAAGAGTCTGATAAAACAGTAAGCCAATTTACTGACGGTTTTGGAAGGATGAGCAGAGTAGTCATTTAATAAAAGTTAAGGAACAAAGGAAAAGCCATGGGATTCATTTCAAAAAGAGATATAGGAAAGCTGGAATCTTTAGGCTCACCTGCATTTAACATGTGAACCATCTAATACCCCTATACAGTTCAACGGGAACGGTTATCAGTAAATTCAATGCGAAGGGAAAGGGGAAGGGAAATGTACACTGGGAAGGAAAAAATTGGGGAGCAAAATGAAGGGAAATTTATAGTCACAGCCCAAACAAGTGTGTTTTAAAAAAACCTGTTAAACATTATAGTCAGAAGATGACTTAGACATTTAGAAGTCTTTTTCTGCATTGGCGTAAATCAGTGCCCTCTCTGAATCCCACTACGGCCGTGAAAAGTCCATGCAGATGTGTGACTACACATGTACACATGATCTTGGAAGTTTGGGGTGGTTGCTGCTGCTCTGTCCATCTGATGGCATCAAAGTAATATTCACCGGATAACGCCCAATCACCTTGAACCTACTTCTGCCACCATAATGGGTTTTCAATAATGGGAAGTATGGATGATAGCACAGGATCTGGGTGGAGTCGAGTGCCTGGGCTTAAACTCCATTTCCACTGTTTCCTCGCTGTGTAAGTTTGGACATATTCCTTAAATTCTCTGAACCTTAGTTTCTTTATCTGTATAATTAGAGACCTCACAAAGTGAGTAGGTTGACTGAGTTAACACTGTAAGTGAAGGCCTGGTTCATGGAAACCGGAGTGTTCATTAGGTATCACAATCATTATACCAAGCTTTACCATGTTTTTCTCCTCTAATCATCACAGCAATTCTATGAGGCAGGTTATAATAAGACATCCCTTCCTCCGTTATAGATAAGAAAGTGTGATCCAGGAAGAGGTTAAGTAACTGATCCATGAATTCAGAGCTAAGTAGTAGAACCAGGCTTAGAACATAGGCTCATTCACATGCCTACACCGGGTTTCCTAACAATATGCATACGTGGGCATTCTAGCATCCCAGAAATTATGCAAAATCAACAAGCTATCTCCACTCTTCCACAGATGCCCTAATATCTGTATTTGAACAAGGGATTGTACTACATATGTGCACACACATATCAATCGTGTCCATCAGATGTCATTCTCCAGAAGAGGCTGAAAACCAAGGCACTGGAGTACATTTATCAAAATGTGTTTCCATGCCTTTGCATTCTCCCTTCCAGGCCAGTGACCCCACCAAGAAAAAGGGAGTTATGTGTTATTCATTTTATAGCAGACTCACTTAACACGGTTAGTGAAAAGCAGGTGGCTTTCAACAAATCTTTCTTGAATAAATAAAAAAAATAATAACACATAAGGAAGGGCTGTGTAACATCACAAAGTGCAAACCAAGCTTTTACAAAGTCAACTAAATTACTATAAACTTAATTTATATTTTTATTTATACATTTATTATTATAGTTAGAAAAATATAAAGTTATAAAGCCAACTTAATAATAATTATTAACAATAATAAAAGCTATAATACGTGTTGAAGATTCATTATATGACAGGCTAAAAGGCCTTATCACCTTATTTTAATCCTCATCACAACTCTAGTGAAGTACCCTGATTTTCATTGAAGAAGGGCATGCTTCAAATCACACATTAGGAAATGCAACTCTTTCAATGCCTGTATCAAACTATTTTTCTGTATATAAAATACATTTTCTGGGCCGCCTGAGTAGTGCGTTGGTTAAGAGCTGGCTTGGGATGCGACAGGGCCCCGGTTCGAATCCCACAAATGAGGGCCAGTGACACTGCCCTCTACAGCTAAGATGCTGAACAACAGCTCAACCTGGAGCTGGGCTGCTGTGGGTCGCCGGCAACGGCGTAGGCTGAAGCCCCTGCTGCAGTGGGTTGCCATGGGCTACTGTGTGCAGCCAGCAGCCAGCGTGAGCGGCCAGCAGCCGCAGTGAGCAGCGTCCAGAAGCTGGAGACTGATCTGCCTCACCCAGGAAGAGTGCAATGATAATACCAACTTGGGCCAGGGAAGCAAAGTCCTCCACAACTAGACTGAAGAACAAAAGGACAGCAACTTGTCTGTTCCCATCCCCCAATTCCCCAATAAAAAATCTTAAAAAAAAACCACATTTTCTAAGAAAGCTATACAGTATTTATATACATATGTTTCACAAACTAAAAAACCACCCATTTAAATATGTAATCCTGTGGGTTTTAGTATGTTCACAGATTGTGCAACCATCACTGCAGTCTAATTTTAGAACATTTCATCACCCCCCAAAAATATTCTATACATACAATCTGATCTTTACATGCATGATATAAATGCAAATTCTTTTAAATAAAGCTTCCATTAAATATATGTATGAAGTATATTTGAAACAGCTAATGTAAAAAAAAACTCATGGAAAGAATTCTAAAGGAGAAAATACGACTTGCTAGGGCTTCTGTAACTTTGCATTAGCAACATCACCATCCATTTGAGTAGGATAAGTAATTAAGAGCTGACATTCCATTCAGATTATTGTGGGTCAAAGTGCAATTTCAAGGACTTCTTAGCATTTCTGCATTCACAACCAAATAGTAAGAAGAGTAGGATGGAATGTGGATAAAATAGTGTACAGCCCAGCTGCCTTTGATAGTCAAGCTAATATTATATTAGTGTCAAAGAGAAAAGCTTAGGAAAATACAGTCACAACAGTTAAGGATACGTACATTTTCTCTTTCAGCATGATAGGTTCATGCACATTTTCTAAGAACCCAGAACATCGTATTTGATAATTTACAACAATCATTAAACCACCATTTAATAAATTCTGCAGCCACTGCAAATAATGTAAAAGGAACTCACGGTTGGTAAATGCATATTCTTCTTCATTTTCATCACTGTCCTCAGATGGAGCTTTATAGGGAGGTGGCAGTTTCATTGGAGGCGGAGCAGTTCCTTGCCTCTGAAGATGCAAAATTTGAGAGAAGGGTTAATTGCTTTTGCACAATCCTCTTCCTCAATGACAAAGAGGATAAAAAGATAATCTGTAAATATTTTGACTATATCCAACTTCAGTCATATCATGAGGGTTGTAAAACTTGCAACTGATTTTCTTATGTTTATGTTATTATGTAAAAGTGACTCTGTGATATAAACACACCAATACAGAAAACAGGAATTCAAAAGCACAGCTTTTAAGGTTATTGATCTACCCAGAAGGATGCAATCCTTTCCCCAGTTAGAAAGCCAATACGTATTTTCTTTACACCATTAAAGCTTAATTTTCTTTGTTATTAACAATGTTATTTAAATGAAAGACATCTCGAAATTAAATCTAAATGTAATAACTATCCACTGCATTAATTCTACAATTATTTGAACTTTTTATTCAATTGTAGAAGATACAGATTTCATTCTTAAAAACATACTTGAAATGAAATACTAAGATTTTCTAACTGAAAAGGTATTCATCTATAAGTTCAAGTCAACACATTTTAAAGGTTTAAAAAAACAAAGAAATCTTTATGATGAATATGTTTTGTATTTCTGTATAAGTATTCTTTAAATTTACACACCAAATGACACAACCCATCACTATTTGGTTCAAATAATTAAAGCAGAACAAAACTCTATGGTCAGATTACCTTCACAGAATGTAGACATTTTCTTGAATGCTGCCAGAAATAAAACATGCCAAACTTTACGAAGAGATCCAAGCTGCTAAAGAATATATACCCACTATACCCGATATGCCCAAACATTCTACAAATTGCAAAACAATTGGATTAAGATTTGTTTTGCTACAGGAATTCAACAAAGTACATTTAATTATGATTTATATGACAAAACCACTAATGGCAGGATACACTTCAGTAAATGGACAATGACTGGGCCATTACAGAAGGCAGGCATGTAATAAATTCCTCCAAAATGGAGAACACTATTTAGGATCCACAAAGGAAAACACATACCCAAATTTATTTAAGATAGTGTCTAACCAAAGCAGGACTTCATATATACGTAGAAAATTTTTAAAAATTGATAAAAATTCAAGAATGATGAAGGGAAGATACCAAATATGAAATGCTTATTAAGCAACAAAAGAAGACAGAAATGTGATCACGGTGTCTCTTTAATTCTTGCTTGAAAAAAGTTAGAAGTGAGTTAAGCGAAAAGTATAAAAGGCAAATGAATTCTCTTCAGTAAGCCTGTTCCTCAGAACTAGGCTATTCTAGGTCAAAAAAAACTATTCAGAACAAGGGCAGCCAGCTTTTAACATATTATTAAGAGATATGAATTCTTTAATAGCATGTTTTTTATACTGAAGGGTAAATTGTTTACACAACTGATTTATTTAATTAACTCTACAAACACTCTTCAGAAGAATATTGGATAAGCATGTCTTGGTCTCTTTACAGTTCGAATGTGAGTTACCAAATATTATACCTGGCGCATCTTTCTAGCACATGAAGGAAGGGTGTGTAGGCAGAGTCAGGCTCTCCCTCTGACAGTGAAGGCTGGAGCTAAGTATATATGTACACAGAGGCCAGCTGAAGAGAATCTCCATGAGGGCAACACAGACAGTGTGGTATCCTCGGCTTCTCAGCAACAGTGCCTGGTACAAAGTAGGCCTTCCTTCAATATTTGCTGAATGAGTAAATAACTGGTTGTCACGCATGCTGTTTAGGTTCCCTGACATACTAACTTTTAGACAAATGACAAGTATGCAAATGTTTCCTGTCCAATAGCATTGCATATTAATTTTGTCTGGTAGAGTTGCAAATTATTTTAGTCCTGTAGAAAGGATAACTCCAAGGGTTACAGTTTTATTGCCCTATAAGACATTAATCAGTTTTGAATCTTACTTAAGCATTCCTTCTTTCAGCAACTATAAATACTTCACTCTCTCCAATTCTCTCTGAACCAGGCTAACCATCTTGTTAGTCCCCTAATGAGTTCAATAAATACCTGTACCCTGCACATTTTGCATAATTTGATAGGTCATGTTTTTATTTTTTTCTTAAATTATACTTGGTCAGTTTTGGAGGCCCCACTGAGACGTTCCAGTAGACTCACCTTCCAGAACCAATTAAATAGTGATGTCTGAGATATGCAATTCATGAGCTGTTTTAATCCCATATACATGATTTCTTGGCCCCCACAGTAAACCCCTAGTGGCAACAGAACTTTGGCATTTTAACTCTGTTTCTCCATTTTTAAATTTCAAATTCTATGTTTTTGATTCTTATACTAAGCCAAGTTTGGTTCTGATTTGAACTTGGGCTATAAATTTCCTATTAGTAGCAGCAAGAAATGGAGTTTGGTTTTTATGGTCTGACAATTGAGTGATATTTCCTGGGATGATGAGGGTCTACTATTATATATTGGTTATATTGGGACCTATCCTCTATTTGTTGAAAGACAACAGCGAGTGTGTTTGTTCTCTTTCCGTTTTCTTGATAGTGTCTGCACTAGAACATGTCTTGGGTGCAGCGGAAAGAATAGCTTTTGACATACAGATGAGTGGGGTTGTGTGTCTCCACTTGACCTCTGGCTAAACTAGAACAGAAGCTAAAATCACTCTATGCATATGAAATGGAGAAAAGCCCTTCCCTCTCACTGTGAGTGTGAAATATTTTCCTACCTTCAGAAGGTATTAATAAATTAGAAGTAAGTCTCCTAAAGAATCTCTTTCTGAATGGTTTATAAGGACTAATAGCATTTTTTAAAAAATCTAATATTCCCAGAGTTTTCCAGAAAACAGTGAAACTCAACTGATGTTAGATATTCCAGCCTTTTAACTAAAAACAACTACAAAAACCCTTTTCACAGAAACCATTAACTTGAAAGCATTTTTAAACAAGAATCCAAATTCACAAAATCAAAGTGATTTGGTAATTTTAATTTGGAAACAGATGTATTTTTTCTCTGAGCTCCTTGATCTTATTGATGTGGAGTATAAAACAAATACATAAACATATTTATACCAATGTTGTGTAATACCCACACGTCTATGTTCCATGTGTGTATATACAAATAAAAGAATATTGCATATCATTGCATATCTATCTGACTATTATCAGCCAATTCTAAGGCCTAGCACAATGTGGAATATCATTAATGGAATGCTGTATTATTTGTTGCTGTCAGGAATAATCGAAGAGCAGTAAATGCATCCTGTAACACCCTAAGTGTCATCAGGTTTGCAAGAGATCATTTTGACCTTTGCAAAATGACCTTATGAGGTTCCCCTTAGTCCCAAAGTCTAGCATGTCCAGATTTTTCACTTAGAATAGATGTATGTCTTAACGTCAACCTTATTGAGGTATAATTTACATAAAATAAAATGTACTCACTTTAAGGACTCATTTGAAATACATTTTTATAATGTATTTCACAAACATAATAGTCCCTAAAAAATACAGTCATATTAAACTTATATTTGAATGCAAATATCCTTGCTATGTATTGAAATTCAATCTGGTTTCATTGGAACAGGCCAAAGTAGGTAAGAATCACACACATCTTTTTCCTTCCTGGGAATCTTATGTGGAATTTTCCTGAATTAATTAAATTACCTCCTTCTTTAAAGTAATTAAATTAGTAACCAGTTTATTCATCTTGTGTGTTTATTATCTGAGTCCCCACAGACTGATCTCTTATCTGTTTCCTTTTTGACATTATATCCCCAAACTGTTGCACAGTTAACTGCACTCTATAAGTTTCCAGTAAACAATTGGTAAGTCCTCAGACTTTAGACTCAACATATGAAATGACAAAATTCCAGCAATAAGACTAAATATTCTGAGAAATAGCTCTTAACCACATATAAATGACAAGATTTTAAAATTATGTTTTTGTAACATGCAACTAAGTACAGAAACACCTATAAATGTGCCAGCCTTGTGTCCTAAAACCAGTAATTTTATTTTATTTTATTTTATTTATTTTATTAAGGAGGGTGCAGCTCACAATGGCCCATGCAGGGATCGAACCAGCAACCTTGGTGTTACCAGCACCACATTAACCAACTGAGCTAACCGGTCACCTTGTTTTGAAAATACTTTATTCACTCAACAAGTATGTACTGTGTACGGATTAGGTGTCAGGCAGTATTCTGGGCAATGAGGATAGAGTAATTACGAGACAGAAGAGATCCCTGCCTTCATGCAGCTTACATTCCAGCCCCTTTCAGATGCCACATTCTGTTGGTCTTCACATCTTGTAGACGAATGGCTTTAAAGGAGCAGTCGCTGAATTCTACATTGTTTGCTTTGCCTCATTAAGATGCAAGCTCCAGGAGGGCAGGACATTTTTGTTAGTCTCTAAAAGCTTCATTGTAGCATACTGAGATATAATTGACATGTAAAAACTGCACACATTTTAAAGCATGCAATTTGAATCTGTTATCACAATCGAGATAATGAACATAACCATAGCCCCCAAAAGTTTCTTTGTACCTGTTTTTTTATAACTCCTTCCCTCCCCTTCCCCTAGCACCCCAATCTACTGACCTACTAATCTCCTTTGTCACTATAGCTTGTACTTTCTAGATTTTTACATAAATATAATCATACAGTGTCTACTCATTTTTATTTAGTGAGAGCTGGGGATTTAATTAGTCCTAAGCTTCCACTTGAGGTCAAGCAACATAGAAGGTGGAACTAAAGATAATACCCTCACAACCCCAATCCCTACAAATAAAGCCTATACCTCCAAAAGGTTGAGAAACAGTTCTGCAAATAATGGCCTGCAACCTGTACATAACTAATACATCTAAACCACAGTCTTCCAGAATCTACATATTATCTGTGCTTATTAACAGTTGCCAAAAATAAACCACAGAATACTGCACACATAGACTATGCTGCTAATAATCAGATTATAATCTTTGTGATTAAGATCTGAACTCAAAGAAAGTGGCCAACCAAATGTTACTTTTTTCCTTATCCTTTTTAAGAACCCTCCCCCCAAATCCTTATGGAGTCTTGAATGGCCCCAATAAAAATGTCTGTAAATAAAATTCTCCCAAGTGTTCAATTCAGTTATAGCTTTTTTTATTTTTCCCTTTAAAAAGGTGAAACCTGCAATGGGAGATGTTAAAAACAAACAAACAAATCAAGCAAACAAACCAAAATCTTGATCACGGAATACAGTAGGGATATTTCCTGGCCTTGGCCTTAGCTTGAGGCAGAAGAAAAGAAAGAAAAGAAAAAAATGGTGTTTCCTGAGAATTCCTTACAAGCCCAGACTCACCCAGGTTGGAGACCTGAATTCATTCTAGTGGCTTAAAAATTTCCAAACCAAAATACCAGGCAAATGCAAAAATAAGCTGGCCTAGTTTCAGTCACATTAGATGAAATAGGTGTTAGGGCATTACTAAGTAATGTCACATATTAATAAAAGGGTCAATTCCCTAGGAAGATATAAAAATTTTAAACTTCTAGACACCTAATAAATTAATTTGAAAAAAATGTAAAATAAAATTGAAAAACTAAATAAAAAAATAGACTAATTTTGCCATCTAAAGGGGAGATTGTTAGGTTACCCTGACCCCTCCCCCTCCTCCAAAAAAAACAGTTAGTACATAGAATGCCTGAATAGCTCAATTAATTACTTTGTCCTAATGACTTTGTATAAAAACCTGTATCTAGGGCCGGCTGAGTGGTGTGTTGGTTAAGAGCTGGCTTGGGATGCCAGCTCTGAGCAGCAGGGCCCCCATTCGGATCCCACATGAGGGCCAGTGACACTTCACCCTCTACAGCTAAGATGGTGGACAACAGCTTGACCTGGAGCTGGGCTGCCTGAGTCGCCGGTGACGGCATAGGCTGCAGCCCCTGCTGCAGTGGGCTGGCATAAGCTACCACCTGTGGCCGGCAACCAGCGTGAGCTGCCAAGAGCCGCCATGAGCGGCCGTCTAGAGGCCAGCGACCCATCTGCCTCACCCAGGAAGAGCACAATGATAATACCAACATGGGCCAGTAAAGCAACATCCTCCACAACTAGACTGAAGAACAAAAGGACACCAACTTGTCTGTTCCCCTTCCCCAATTCCCCAATAAAATCTTAAAAAAACCCTGTATCTAATAATTAGATAATACTTATTCTTTTAAACCACAAATATGCATTTATAATCAATGACAATGTACTAGGCAATAAGAAAGTCTCAACCAGTGTAAAAGAATATTACACCAACCACAATCTCTGATTATAACTAAAATGTTAGAAAATAAGAATATGTTTTTAAAAATATTCACATGGTAATTCAAACATATTTCTAAATAAACATGGGTAAAAAAGAAATTATGTTGGGAGCTACAAACAACCGACTTATTACTGAGTAACAGAAACTCAACTTAAAATTTTGGGATGCAGGTAAAGAAGGACTTAGAAGGAAATTTATGGTGTTAAATGATCATTTTAGAAAAGAATGGCTAAAAATTAATAAACACTTAAACTAGTTAAAGATTATTACCAGGAAAAATGGAGAATAAATCCCTAAGAAAGAAATAAAGTGATATAAAGATGAGAACAAAAGTAATTAAGCAGAATAAAGATACAACAGAGAAGACTAACAATTTAAAAGTTAATTCTTCAAAAAGAAAAAATAAACATAAAATTACTTTCAAGATTAAGAAAAAACTATATTCAGAATGAAAATCAGCTACTATTGATAGAGCATAAATACAAATTAAGAGAATATGTGAATAAATTTATGCCAACAAATGTAGTTAGGTGATATAAATATTCTTAGTAAAGAGTCAGTAACCAAAACTGACTCTAGAGAAATAGAAAACCTGAATAGTTCAATAACTATTATAGAACTAAATAAATATTTTAGTTTTTTTCCCACATAGAAAACACAGTCCACAATAACTATATAGAGTAGTTTGACCAAACATTTAAGGGATAGATAATTACCATTTTACACAAACTCTCAGAGAACTAAAAAAAAAAGAAATACTCCTATTCATTTTAGTAGTCTCGTATAAACTGAGCCAGAGAGGACAGTACATAAATGGGAAATTCTGGGCCAATCTCATTCATGACAAGAAATGCAAAAAATGAAAAAAAAATAATACTAGCAGTGGGCAAAAAAGATCATAAAATGAAGTTTAAGCCAAGAATTCAGGATTGGGCCAACATTATAAAATATGTTAATATAATTTACCACATTAAGAGATTCAAGGAGAAAAAAAAATGTATACATACACATGTAATTATTTTAGTGACACAGATAATACATTTGATAAAATTCAATGCCAATACCATTCATGATAAAAGTGCTTCGCAAAATAAGAATGAAAGGGAATACTTTTTTAACCTTAAGGATTATCCACAAAAATTTGCAGCACACATCATATTCAATGACGAAATAATAAAAGCAATTTCTTAAATATCAGCAGGAAAAATGACAAGAATTCTAGCTATCATTATTTCTATTAATGGAAATCTTAGCAGATTTAATAAAACAAGAAAAAAGGTTGGAAAGGGAAACAGAAAACTGCCTTTATTCAAAGTGGTCATTATCAGCTATACAGAAAATCCAGAAACAAAAATCTATAGACATAGTATTAGAATTTAAGATTCATATTCTTATTAAAAATAATTTATATATGCCTGTGGAGCACATACCCAAAGACACTAGAAAGTTCTACATGAAATATTTAATAAGTTTATGTTTAGGTAGTGGGTTTATAAAAGATTTTAATTTTTTTATTTAGCACTGGATTATCTTACTCTATAAAAGAATGAGAGAATAATGTTACACATATAAAATATAGATGTTAAATAAATATATAAATAAATTTTATGTCTCTACATCAGCAACAAACAGAAAACACAATTTAAAAATATTTAAAAGCAACACAAAATATAAGAATATCTAGGAATAAACCGAAGATTATAATACCTTTCTGAAGAAAATTATAAAAATTGAAAGAAATCAAGGAAAATTTTAATAAGTTCTAAAATGGTATATGAGATATACTATGTTAATGGTTAAGAAGACTCAAAATCATAAAGATGTAATTTCTTTCCAACAAATTAATCTAAAAATTCGACACAATTTCCATGAAAATACCCAGAGATATTTTTGTGGAATTTGACAAGCTAATTGTAAAATTTATACAGAAAAGAAAAAAGACACTTCTAGTATACGTGCTGCTGAAGGGAGCACAAAAGACACTTCTAAAGAAGAATATGTAAAGGAAATGGCTCACTAGAAGACAAGATTTATTATTAGGCTCTAATATTAGAAAGTGTAGCACTCGTGTTTCGAGAGACAAATGGAAGAAAGAGAAAGCGAAGAAACAGACTTCCCCTGATAACCTGAGATATGATAGACGTTGTATTGCAAATCAGTGGGTCAAGGAGGGCCTATTTTTAAACAGTGGGGTAATTAATTACCCTTATGGGAAAAAATACAAATTCATCCCTACCTGACATCATATCCTAAAAATAAATTTTAGATCAACTAATTCTACAAAAATAGAGATGGAAAAATAGGAATGGATGATTAATTCTGACTGATGATAAAGAATATTTTCTCAGTAGAGATGACCTTTGACTTGTTCCTCGGAGGATGAAAAGAACAATGTGAGAAATGGACTTCCAGGCTCAGAGAACAGCAAGATCAAAGTCTCAGAAACTCCCAAGTGTGTGAGGCATTTTCTGAGAATGGACAGACAACTAGCCCAGCTGAGCAGCAAAGAGAGAGAAGAATGACGATGGCTGACTGGTTCTCGATAACATTTTTACACTTATGCTTCACTGGTTTCTGGCCTTCCTCCTAGACAGAATCAGTTATGTTCCCAGCAAGGAAATATAAATACAGTATTTCTACCCTGAGAGTCACCCCAAAACCACGCTTATTAATTTTACAGCTCAGATAGGCAAAAATAAACCAAAAAACATTTTTTAAAAGCCTGAGATGTTGTTACCTTTTCTTTGTTTTCTTGAGTGTCTTGCTCCTGGTTATTGGCGATTTTGTTGGCCTTGTTATGCACACTAGGAATGACCTATCACCACAAAAAATAAAGGAGAGGGGGAAGAGAGAAACAGTTAAATGTTGCAATCATTACAGTTATTAATATATTTTTTAAACACTTGAATCTTAACTATCTGACCTCATCTATAAAGTAAAGACATGAGAAGTACAATTCAAGGCAAAGAATACAACTGGGAAACCTGACAAGTTATATAACCCAAAATATTGTGTGTGTGTGTGTGTGTGTGTGTGTGTGTGTGTGTGTGTGTACACCATCAAAGGGCAATAAATTCACAAGTTTGTATGTGTAGAAAGTGTAGATGACAACTAAAAAGAAGGTTGTGATACTGGTTATCATCCTAAATATCTCATTTTGCAAAATATAGTTTTAGAGGTAACCCAAGCTAATTCCTAGAACATAGGATACATCATTTATTTGACAGATTTACCTTATTTATCATTGTATCCCAGTTCAAATATGTTATTTAGCACACTGCACTCAATAAACATTTCACTATCACTGTTAGCATAAAAATGAATTACAAGAATATATATACCCTTGACTAAAAAAAGCCCAATGAGAGCTGGAATTTAGTGTTATTTATCGTCATAACTCTGGTGCTCAGAAAGAGTCTAATACTAGCTGCACTCAATAAATGTTTAGGGCTGGCCGAGTGGCATGTTGGTTAAGAACTGGCTTGGGATGCCAGAGGGCCCAGTTCGGATCCCACATATGAGGGCCAGTGACACTGTCCTCTACAGCTAAGATGCTGAACAACAGCTCAACCTGGAGCTGGGCTGCAGTGAGTCGCCAGCGACAGCGTAGGCTGCAGCCCCTGCTGCAGTGAGTTGCCATAGGCTACTGTGTGTAGCCAGCAGCCAACGTGAGTGGCCAGCAGCCGCTGTGAGCGGCCATAGAGAATCCAGCGACTGATCTGCCTCGCCCGGGAAAAGCGCAATGATGGTGCCAACTTGGGTCAGTGAAGCGACGTCCTCCACAACTAGACTGAAAAACAAAACGACAGCAACTTGTCTGTTCCCCTTCCCCCAATTCCCCAATAAAAATCTTAAAAAAAGATAAAAATAAAAAAATAAGTGATGCCACTGTGCAATGGAGTTTTGTTATTAAGTGGAAAAAAATTATTTGGCATAGAAACTTTCTAGAGGAGTGCAGTATAAAGCATGGGTTCTGCTCTCAGATAAGCATTTGCTAAGTAAATCTAAATAGATACACCCATTTCTTTCTAGCGTGCTTAAAATAGTCAGAAATATAGGAGAAAAAGCTGAAAAGGTAATGTATTGGCAATACGCCTAAAGTATCTGTTAAAAGCAGAAGTATAAAAAATAAAATACAACTCAAAGCAAACAACAGTACATATTTAAACACCACCACTCAATTCATGGTGCTGATGAGAATTTCCATGTGACCAAGGCATAGTTAGACATAGCGCCTTTGATGGGCCCAACATCAGAAAATGAGCTCTTTGGGGCCTTGAGGAAAGTCTCAAAGTAATGTAAACTGGTCAAAAATGATTAAGCATTTGGCTATATCTCCTATTTCTGTGATGAGTAAGCTGAAAAGAACACCATTTTGCAAAGATATGAAACTTGATTCCTTTCATTGCCTCACTCAAAAGGAATCACTTTGTGCTAAAAAGTGGAACACGTCATGGACGCAGTAATTAGCACCATCACCTGAACACGCTCCCTTGGCTAAAACCACAGAGTTCAATGCTTGATGAACCAAATGCACAGTGCGGCAGTCTGTTATGCTGCATGAGGGAGAGGTGACTTCAGCAGGATGCTGAAAAGGTTTTCATTTTTTTTTTCAAGAGTTGAAAGAAATTGCACTGTTTATGTTATTCAAATGAAAATTTCTACCTCAGCTCACCAGCAAAGGCTGGATTAAAAGCTTGACTTTTTCAGTTGACTTTATAACCTATTTGAATGCTTTCAATATTTTTCGGCAGGGTAGTCACAGTGGCCACATAAATGTATAATTTGATTGGCTCATTCTAGCTCAAAGCTGTTTCTTTGGAAGTATCATTTGGCAAGGAATAATCTGGCCAATTTTCCTACCTGAACTCAGCTTCCAGAAATAAGTGACGGCATCAACTACCTTTTCAATACTATAAGAGTTTATAAGTGGATTCCAAAAGAATCTTGAATTTCAAGTGGTATGAAAATGAGAAGGCTTTATTCAGTTCACCTTGGTCAATTAGTCCTGATGGTGCAAACAGTGCTAAGACTGAAAGGGACTGAAGTGCAATGTAGCACACAGCCGCCGAGCTGCCCGAGTGGGGTGTGACTGCAGCCCTCCGGGTGCAGGCTGGGTACAAGTGTCCAAACAGCATATTGACGCTCCTGCCCTTGGTGCAGTCAAGCATCTGTTTGCCCAGCCTAACATAAAAAGATTATTTTCTATTACCTTAACATACAAAAGGTTGAAAAGCACTTCATTACTGTATTGCAAAGCAAATTTTTCAAAAATATGCAGTCTTTCTAGTGTTCAGAAGTGCCTATATTCTGAACAGCTGTCTTCCATTATATATATAAAAAAAAACCCCAAAACATTGCTTCCAGTTACAGGGCTTAAGGGTGACTTTTATGCTGCAAATCGCAGTATAAAATACACATCCTGCCACTGACATCTGCGTATCAGAGTTCTAATTCCACACCAAAACAGTGATTCATTACAGAAAAAAAAAAGTATGATTAAATACTGCTACTTTTGAATCTGGAATTTCTAATAGAACATAAAACAATACAACATATTCGTATTTTGACATGCTTTAAGAAATATACAGAACATTTGCTAGTATCTCTAGAATGTATTTATACCTGGCCCTCTTTATGTTCAAAGGATTTTATAAACAACATAACTGGCTCAGAAAAGTTAAGTAACTTGCCTCTAAGTTAGCAAACCCACTAAACAGGGAACCAAGGAATCGAAAACAGGCCTGCTTGACTCCACAGCCTGTGACTTAAATCAATGCACAATGGAATGACTCAAATTTAACAGGGGATCAAAATTGGAGAAAAAAGGGGAAAATTGAAATTACTAACTGAATTTTTTTTTTTTAATTGGGGAATTGGGGGAATGGGAACAGTGCTGGGGAATTGGGGGGAGGGGAACAGACAAGTTGCTGTCTTTTTGTTCTTCAGTCT